CTTCAGGCACACTGCTTGTCTTGTTAGAGGGAAGCACCACAACATACAACCTACACTTTGTCAAAAGAGTAATTCTCACCCAAAATCACTGTAAATTTGCATGACAGCACAAAGGTAAATTGGGAAGCAGGCAACAGAAGGCTCTGAGGCTTGTGTGCCTCTGACAGTGCATGGTTCCATTCACTTTGTAACACTATCAATGAAATTTGGGTAAGCCACTGACAGCAATTCCTTTTCCACCTGTTAAGGATCAGTTAATTCTGCAAAACTCTCACATTCCAGCGTATTAAAGGCATTCATTCTCCACGTGAAGTTTCACACTAATAGCCAGCTCTCTGAGGAAACTATTCATTGAAATCATTTCAAGTAACAGTAAGTGGAAGGAAGCACAGAGTTTACACACTTCACATACAGCGCTGGAGGACCAGAGAACAGACAGCCACAGAGCCCACACCCTGCCCTGCAGATCCACAGTTGGCTCATCCCAGTCTTCTCCAGAAGGGTTCAACTCCCAATCCATGTTTCCTCACCTAGTCTTTCACTCCTCACAGACAAAACCATAAAAGCTTCTTGCTGAAATCCTCTCAAGAGGCAGGTTTGAAAAGACAAAGGATTAGGAAGCGATCAGTGAGAGCTATGGCAAAGCAACAATTTACCCAGCAGGGGTGTCCTCATAAAAACTGCTCACTGGCAGTTTCTCTCTCACCTTTGTTATTTAAGTTCATCCCCAATCTCTCAGCCTCCGAGAGGCCCTACCCAACCCAAAGCCCCCACAGGGACACACAGCCCCAGTGCCTTGCACAGTGCCGGACTCCAGGAAAGATCAAACCCGTGTACCTTGTAGTGCTGCAAACACTCACCAGGAGGAAGTGATGGAGACAAGTTTCATCCATTCCTAGACCCTCAATAAGCTAAGATAGACAGTAACTATCACCCTGAGGCATTCTGAAACAGGACCTCGCTCCAAGGAAAAACAAGCTCAGCTCAGCATTAAGCACACATAAGTACCTCACAAGAAACATCTGCTGCCCACAAGACCACACTGCCAAAACTTGCCCCACCTGGCCCCTAGGCTGGCTGTGATCAGAAAGAAGAGCAAACAGTCACCTGGCCAGCTGTGTGATGTACACAGAAACAAGTGGAATGGATAAAGAAGACAGTTCATTTTTGTAAGAAACAATATATTTTATTTTTCTGACACCACAGCCCTGGCAAGTGGTTTTGTACCAAATTTAATGGAGGTTACACAGAACGTTTTACGCTGGGGAGGAAAAAAAAACAACCGCAAAAAAAAATCCTGGATAACTTTTAGTGTCTGTTCCACTCCCACATTAATAAAATCACTTGGGGTTTCTAAGAAAAGGAGATTAGGAAACAGTGAGAGAGACTACTGTAGGATGTAACAGTGTCCAAGTCCAGACCTTTCCTAAAAGTGGGAAGGCTCCCCACATGAGGAGAGGCTCTCCTAGATTTACTCCCCAGAATAACACAATGTATTGCAGCTGCCATAGGAGGAGACAGAAGGGGGACGGAGGGAGAGAGAAGCCTATTTAATAAAGAGTGGGAGGGAGAGACAGAAGGTGCTGGACAGCACGCCATAATTTGAAAAATATGTCCTTAACTTATTATTTATTTCTTTTAAAAGATTCCCCTCACTGAACTTAAGTTCCTTTTTTGTGCTTTTCATTAATACTCTGCTCTGAGGTCGTAGTTTGGTTTTTCTATACACTGGAGTTGAAGGAAAATAGTCCAAAGTTCTGAAGATGGATTCTCCACCTAAACAGCCTAGAATCCCATTCTCCTCTCACCCCAAAGACTAAAGTCTCTGCTAAAATCCCTTTTACAATATAGTACAGTACACAAAGAAAAAAACAAAACAAAACAAAAAACCAAAATAACCGAGAGTCCTGGGAGAAGCCAGTCCGAAGGACGTAAACATACAGAGAATGGTGCAACTTGTGACAAATGGCAATTCTCAAAATACAGCTACAGATTCTCAAAGCAGGTGCCTCACGGGATACCCAAGTCCACAAAAATAATTTTTAAAAAATAAATCTTAAAAAAAAAAAAACAACAAAAAAAAACCCCAACCTGTTAAAATGATTTTTTTTCTTTTTTTCCTTTTTTTTTTTTTTTTAAGGTAATTCCATACATTCGAGATTTCCCAAAGCGTCCTCTGGTCTCTTTTCACCTATTGCATGGCCAAACTGTACTCCTGAAGCTCTCAAAAAAGCCCTCAGGACTTGGAATCTCATCTTGACAAGGATCAGAAAGTCCAGTCTTATGGTAGCAGCTTAAAACATCATGTTCCCTGGGTTTCCAGGGCCTTGGCTAAATCCTCCCATGCCAACGTCAGCAGCCATACCTCGGGGCCTCATCTGTGGGGGAATCATGATGTTTTGTTGGGGTCCCATCATGCCCTGCATTGACATCATCATGCCAGGTGACCCAACAGGCCCCGGGTGGCTGTACAGCCCCGCAGGGGCTCGGTCCTTGCCTGGGATCATGCCTACGGCGGCCACAGGGTTACTCATGAGTGCGGGCTGCCCAGGCATCGCCGTCTGTGCTGGTGACATCATGCGGTGGTGTGGCCCCATCATGCCCTGCTGCAGAAAGGCGGGCGGCCTCATCGGGTTATGACTTGGCATGGATGGAGCCGTCCCAAGAGGGATATCCGGAGTTCCCACTGGCCCAGGGCCTCCCATGCCAGGCAGTGTTAGTCCCATCCTCGGGGCCTGCTCTCCTATCATCCCCTGCATGTGAGAGAAGCCAGGCCCAGGACCCTGCGGCTGCTTGCGGCCCGGCACCTCCCCACGAGGGAAATACTGTAGTGTCTGGCTAGGCTTCTCTGATGGGATAATCCTGGACAGGTCAAACTCAGGTATTCCCGTGGCTCCAGGACGGATCACCTCCTGCAGCTCTGGATCGGTGAAAACCGAAGGCATATTGTTTCCAAGAACCGTGAAGGAGTCTGGACCACCAGGGCCTCCAGTCTTGCAAAGTGCTGGATCTGTCGAACTTTGGGGCAGGTTGGTAGGACGCCCCAGAGGACCTTCTCCGTGGAAGCCCATTCCTGCTGGGAAGTTGCCTTGTCCACTGCTGGGCCCGTTGTGTGGAAATGGCACCTGCTGTGGTGGGGACTGTACAGGAGGGAACCCCTGTGGGAAGCCCAGGCGTCCTTGAGGTACCATTGGAGACTCCTGGGAACTGTGCCCCATCATCGGGTTGTGTGACATCAGGCCAGGTCCCACAGGGACCCCATGAGGAGGTATACTGGGTCCCATAGCATTTGGAGAGGGCATCTGGTTGTTATGGGAAAGAGGCTGGGTCATTCCCATTGGGCTAAGGGTTGGCATTGGACCCACTGGGTTTGGACCTGAAATTCGAGGATTCTGAGAATTAATGCCCATTCCTAGGGAAGAAATAAGGAATTACATTTAGAGAACAACCAATAATGATCAACAAAGCTACCAGTGAGCTTTCTGCAAGGTTACCAAGTCTGCGCACACACACACATAAGCAAAAAATTAGTGCTAGCAAAAAAACATCAGTAGTGGCTCTGCAAAATGTTATTTTAAGCAGAGAACTGATGCCACCTGCACAGCTGCCTCCCTAAGCAGGAAGTGCCTAAAGCCTGCTCTGTAAATAGGATCTCAATCCAATTCATACTTTTACAACTTCCCTGGCCATCCAGATGAGGCAGGCAGATAACAAACATGTCTGTGCCAGATTATCAGCATATGGACGCTTGCCCACTGGGAAGTGACTGAATGTCCTTTCAAAACTCCAGAAGTGATAAATGAGGTAACCCATGTAAGACAAGGAGGAACAATCAATGAGGTTAATGAGCTGTCATCAGAAACTTATTCAATTAGGCAGCTTCCCCAGGTATATCCAGTCACACTGATCATTACTGCGTGAAGCACACAGCAAAGCTACAGGTAAACTCATCAAGAATTCATTACCAAGTGCCACTTTCATGATACAGCTACTCATCCCCTCTTTAATCTACGTCAATTCATTGGGTAGAGGGGCTACAGCTTACTTTGTATTTAATATGTACCCTACAAACATGAAGCTACCAGCAGTGACTGGATTTCTCCTCTGAACATGTTTACCCACAAGGCAGCCCCACAATGTTTTATTTTACTTTTCCTTTAACTCTCTCAGGCAGGGACTAGGACAGTTTCCCCTCAGTCCTGGCTGAGGACACCTGCCATTACACATTGCCTATATGAAAAGATGCATGTTTTGAGAAAGCACTCTAACACCCTCTTCTATAACAAAGGCAATCCACGAAACCCAAGAATAGACCAGATGATGCAGTGTCATTCAGCACAAGCTCTTGTGGCTTCACCACAAACTATGAAGCTTCTATGACACTGCCTCTTAACACAGGGGAAGAACGGTTTCCTCTGTTCTCTCTCTACTCTACTCCCACGAGCAGCCTTCACTCACACAAGTAATTCCAGTATGCCTGCATAAAGTCTCTCCCATACAGAACAGCTTTCCACATTAGACATTTTCTGAAGGACAGAGTAAACTGGTTGGAAGGAGAACTTCTGTCACCTCACTTCAGAGAACTGCAACTGCCCTTCTCAAAACTAACCCATGGCTATATATTCTTCAAAGATTTTCCCCTCTCACCATCTTCATTTGACGAAGGCCCCATACAGACATCCTCACTGTATTGCCTGACAGCTTGGTCTTATGTGTCTTTGAGTTTCTTACCTGGTACGCTGTTCATAGGTGGCAAATTTGGGGAGCGTGCTGGAGGGGAGTCATCATCTGAGCTGGCCACAGTTTTGATGGCATCGTGATAAAGTGGAGTAGAGCTGGGCATGGCAAATTTGGACATCCTGGACATCATAATGGAGAGGGGATTCTGGGAGAGGGTCGGCTCTGGAGGCATTGTGTAAGGACTGCTAGAGGGAAGGTTTCCAGGGAGAGTCACAGGAGCGGACTGGCTGACTGTGGAAGGAGGTGGGCCACCTTAGGGAGGAAAGAAAAGAAAAGGAGGACTAATTTTTTTCCCCTTCTTACCATTTTTTCCCCCTTAAACCCACCTCTTACACATCTCAAAAACTAGAAAACCTTTTTACTGCAAGAGACCATGTGACTAACGCAGTCAATGCTTGTGAAAGATAACCAGAAAAATGACCCTATTTGTCAAGATGGTTAACATCTCTTATCCCAGATTCTGCACTTCTACTGGAGCTATCCTGAGCCTCTACAAAATTACATGAAGAATTCTCAGGTAACTCTGAAAATCATACTGTTCAACTTCCATACACTGAAGACAGACTTAGGTACCAGGTCCAGCCATAAAAATCAAAATCTACAGTATTGTTCCTACATACACCAAATGCCAACTGTAACTCCCTTCCTTTTTTCTTTAGGAGGCATCAACCCAGAACAAAAGACACAGCATAATGAAAGCTGTAGCAGATAAAATACTGAGACATGTGAGCAGATTTCTGACAAGCTGTACCTGCAGCTACAAGTAAAACTCCCTGTTTATGTTTTATTTCAGGTTTCATATACACATATTTACTGCTTATCCCAGTGAAAGAAGCATTCTCTGCACCTTTTATCTTAATATCTTCCTTTGCTCTCCCCATAATAGAAATAACTGCAATTCCAGTTCCCTTTGTCCGTCACCGATGAGCTTCATGCCATCCAGACCACACGTGAAGGGAAGATGCTAAATTGAAGCTGTACTGTCACTGAAAATGAACTGCACATTCCTCAGCACCCACCCCCCAACAAAAAAAAAAAAAAAAAAAGGGAAAGGAGAATAGAGAATACAGAAACCTTTCAATGCCAAAGCATTTACGCCTTGGAAGAACTACACCTGAAAGGACTCATTAAGCACATCACCAGGTATGGCCTAAAAGAAGCACTCCGTTCTGGCTCATATGTGCCGGGGCTCACACTAGGCACGGCATCAGCAGCCGTGACAGACACCAACATTCAGGCACGGAGACCCGACCCCCGCCGGCCCCCGTGCCCGGCAGACACGTCCCGACCGCCGCCGCGCTGTTACCGGGAGCGGCACTAGAGGGCAACGTGGGCAAACGGCTCCGCCGCCGGGAGCCCGCTCGGTCAGCGGTGCTTGGGAGCCTGGAGTGAACTGAGCTGTGGCCGGAGGGGCGAGAGGGCTCCCAGGTGAACCTGCCCGGGAGGGTCTGAGAGAGGGAACAGAGGGCAGCAGCCCAGAGATGCTAAGGAGCAGGCAAGGCAGTGCCAGCATCTGCACACCGGCATCCCAGGCACAGCACGGCTCCAACATACCACCGGGTGCTCCACGTGGTGGTGGTTAGAGCTCTCCAAAATGGTAGAAGCCTGAACAAATGTTAAGACACCTCCCTGTCTGTGGTGGTACATGTAGGAAGCACTTACCACACCCAAACCATATCTCAGTACATACTGGTTAACTATGCCCAGCACAGTCTTTGTAGGAGCGTTTTATCTCAAAGTGCTTTCCTAACATCAGCAGGACCTTCTCCACAAAGCTGTGATCACCAGGAGCTATGGCAGAATGGCCATAAACCCCTCCAAGGACAGATTTCTCCCACCAACACGCAACATCTTTTCACACTTCTTGACCCCACCCTTTCACTTTCATGTGGGGACACACTTGAGCAAACCCACAAATACAAAGAGGGAGGAGGCGAAGCACTTGCACTCCACTCGCATAGCCACCCAAGGGACCCACAGTATAGCCTCCCTTCAGATGGGCAAAACGCTATCTAGCTTCTGCCACCCTGCAAAAACCTTCCTCCCCCATCTTGCTGCACAAATCAGAGTGTCCCAACACGAACCAAAGACCCAAATCCACTCTCAGAGGGCACTCACCCGACTCCACGTTCCCCAGCATGGCTGGAGAGGACATGGTGAGAGACGCCTTGTGGTTCGGGGGAATCCCAGGGCTCTGCAAAGGAGGCTTTGGAGATGAAGTCCATCCAGGAGAAGGTGCAGGGAGAGACGGAGACTTGAGGTGGACAGGAGAAGCAGCAGCAGACCCCAAGACAGGGGGGGACTTAATGGAGGCAGCAGCAGCTGCAGCAGTGGGGCCCGCGAGCATTCCTGCCAGCTGGGAGGGCGTCTGAGGGGACTTGAGGTTCCCCGAGGGAGACCCCATCATGGGAGACTGGACCTGGCGCATCGTGGGGGACTTGAGAGGGTTGATTCCTGGTGAATGCACCTGACCGGCTGCAGAGATATCCAAGGGCTTGCGGCCTAGGCTGCGCTGCACAGGGGGAGCAGTGTTGAGGCTATTAGGGTTACTGGTGGGATTGAGAGGTAGTGGCGGCATGTGGCTGAGCCGGTTGTTAGTCCTTTGGTCAGGCCCGATCTGTTCTCTGAGATTTCGGAGACCAACTCCTGGGCCCTGAGACATGGGGAGGAAAGGCCGGGGACCCATGCCATACTCTTGCTGCGGGTGCTCTCCAAACGGCAGTGGCACCATTTTCTGCTGAGAGGAGAGCATCTCCGGCACAACGGGGCGCAGTTTCATCATCTCTTCCGGCACGACTCCTGCCTCCCTCAGCTTCTGAGGGACCAGGGGTGGATTGGAGCCCATGCTGACACTCATGCCCATGTCCCCCTTCATGCTGCCAGGGCCCATCCCGAACTCCAGCTCCCTGCCAGAGGCCATTTGTGGGGGTATTCCTTTTGGGAAGTCCCCCCTGGAGGGGCTCATTGGCCCTTCCACTGGCATGCGAGGGAAGATGGGGTTGCTCCCAGGCTCCATGTGTCTCTGGGAGGGCATCATTCTGTTTATCTCCATGCTGGGCCTGATGCTTTCCATGTTCAGGCCAGGAGGGAGGCCCATCTGCTTCTCAGCCAGCTGCTGCTGATACAACTCTTCAGGCAGACCTTGTGGGTTGGGGAACCGCTCCCCTCGGCCAGGGCCGCTGAAGACACCCTGGCCAGGAGGGAAGTTTCGGCCATCTGGGATTTTTGGCACATCATCTGGCCAACTAACTCCCGAAAGCCCAGGCCGTGAGGCAGAATTCGGGACACTGGGGCCCTCCATGTCAGGGTTCATCATTCCTGCAAAACCAGGCAGGCGCATCTGGCTCCCAGGCACATTGGGATGCGGGGCCATGCCCCTGGGGGGCAGAGAGTGCGACATGTTCATGCCTTCAGGGAAGGGCTCTGGACCCCCAGGTCCCCAGCCCTCCCCAGGGGTCATCTGGTAGGGAGGAGGAGGGCCTCGGACCACTCCACGTGGCCCATGCTGATGGACCATCATGTCCTGCAGGGAACACTGCTGCACCACCACCTGCTCCTGCTTCCTTCTCTTCTCCTCATAGAACTCCTGCTGCAGCTTGAGCCAGGCCACTTGCTCAGGAGTCATGTGGTCCAGGTGGTCTGGGCCTATAGGTCCTGACTGGGAGTTCATTGGTGGTGGCCCCATTTCATCTGGGGAAAAAGGCATATCCCTGTGTCCTTGAGGGCCAAATGGGGCCCCTCCGTCTGTCCGAGACCCTGAAGCTTTGCCTAAACTTTGGGATTGAGCCATCATAGCCTGTATCGGCCCTTCAGGTTTCTTTTGGGGACCATCCAGAACCCCAGCATTTGTAGGTGGCCCCCCACTTTGCCCTCCTGCAAACTCTTTTTCATCGGGGAAGAGCATGCGCTGTATGTCTCTCAGGGTCTGCAACGAGCGCTCTCGATGCTCCAGCTGCTCCTGTGACAGTCCATCTGGATTCTCACCCAAACTGGCTGGGTCCCCACCAGACACCTGCTGTGGAGGACCTTTGGGGTCTGCAGTGGAGCTATTGCTACCTTGGGAAACCGGGCTGACTGCTCGATTATTGGGGGTTGAACTCTGCCCAAATCCTTCTGTCTGCAACGGGGTAGAGTTGGCAGGGCTGCCCACAGACATCACTTTGCTTTCAACGCTCGGACTGTCCTGATCTATGGGACATGGGGGGGCAGTGGATTTGGATACAGGTGCTGACAAGGGTGGAGTCGGCTGCATTTTGGCATTCTGGGGAGGGTTCTGGTCCTGGGCAGCAGGAGGCTGAGCCTGTGGCAGGGGCTTGGGTTCAGTCCGAAGTGCAGTGATCTGGGGGTTCTGCAAGAGAAAGCCACACACTATCACCTGCTCTTCTTACAACCATGTCACATAAGCAGCAGTGCAAACAGAACATCCTGTCTCAACCCCACCAGCCCACACCTTGCAAGGAAGGGGAGCCTGCATGCAGCAATTTACAGAGCAGCATCTTGGCCATACAGAAACCTATTTTGCTCAAACATTATCATAGGTGCCCCTTGCTTCTGTGCTAGCTCTGCATGAGCAATAGGTTGGACATATACTACTCAAATACTGCAAGACTCAAGCTCTTCTTTGATGATCCAAGACATTTATTTGAAGGCGGCTAGAATAACAACTGTCTCTCTCTTTCCCACCCCAAATCTTGTTTCAGAGTGTAAGAAATCATCCGTCTCTCAGAATCAGGCACATTTACCATTTCCTTCCCCACCCACATGCAGGTATTCCCTACCAAGGGTACAGTGTTTCGTTCCACCTTGCTGTTTGAGATGTTCTGAATATGAAAGGACACGATGGTTTCCACCTGTCCCTTCAGCACAGCTTCTGCAGCCCTGCAAAGACAGACACACACATATAACCCAGTTGAAGCCAAGAAGCAATTTTTCTTAAACATCGTCCTCTCCTTCAGCTAGCAGAGGGGAGTAAGCCTTAACCACACATATTTCACTCTAGATGAGTAGCAAAAGAAAAATGCTTACATCTACAAACTCATTAGAATTCAGGGTTCATGTCTCAGTTTAAGACATACTGGCTGCTACTCACTGCATGGATTGCAAAACAGTATCCATCAGCACTTGCCAAAAACACAAAACCCCAAAAAGCAAACCACACCTCAGCGGAATAAATAATAATTTCTCAGAGAGCAAGATGTGGTGAGTCTCCACTCCAGCCCCTTCAGGATCCCAAACAAGTAATGACTTTTTGTTACAGGAATGCACTTGATGGAGAAAGGGCACTTGAGAATCTCTTCAAAAGGGAGCACAAAAGTAAGCCCCGCTCCCTGAGGATGTTCAAGCATCTACCTACTTACTTGTTGGCCATCTCAGTAGAAAAGACATAAACCACTTTGGATGGAGTCTTCTGCCCACTTGCTGGCTCCAAAGTGGCAGCCAGGCCATGGGAAGGTGTGGAAGACCTTGGGGCTGAAGTGTTTGAAGGTGTCATGGAGTGTGGTGTATGCTGAGACTCCTGGGATTTCACATGATCAGCAGAATTGCAGTCTGGAAGTGGAGAAAGAGGAAAAGAAGAGAATCACTACCTTGGGAGCTTTATGGAAACCATTTCTGGAAACTGATGAGAACTCTTCCTCCTTTGAAACTTCCTGCTTCTCCCTCAAGCGTCATTAAAGGCATATTGCCTATTACACTAGGCATATTACCTCAAATGCCATGCTGCCCTTCAGACACCACTGGGACAAAGTTCATCTTGTCCCTTTCCAAGGAAAGTGGCAGGTCCCAGAGATGATCCCCTTTAACTCTCCAATGGCCACACAGAACAGAAGAAAAACCACACACCAAAATGAATAAGTGTCTGGAGACCACTCTGTGAAACTCCACCACCACACGCCACAGCCACGTTAGCCAGAGGATCTAGCAAATGGACAAAGGAAACATGGAAAACTGCACATATAGTCTGGTTTTGCACTGCCTTACAGAGGCAATGGTGGAGCCAGGAACATAATACAGAAATCCCAACCCTCTGGCTTGTGTTACCAGTAAGGGTGCTACAGGTTATGTACGTGTGTTGACAAAACAGGCTTGCATATTGTTCAAAATCCCAGTTACAACAGAGCAGTTCCTGAAAGG